GACTCCTTACTGCAAGAGGGAACTGAACCATACTGTAAATACCTATCCATCAAAGAAACAAAAGCATTTTAAACGTTTTCACCAATAAGGTTTTTAAATTGAAAAAAATCCCACATTAAGAAAAATCTCAGTTTTACTGCTCAATACTCAAATTGAGCCAGCAGTTACTGATTCCCCCCACCCCCCCCCAGTCCCTCCTAGTAGGAAAGCACACTGAATTTAGGTGCAGTTAAATTACGGGCATAGCACATGAAATACATTTACATCTCATCTTCTCACCATAAGGAGAAAGATTGACAGCGTAAAAGCTTAATACAAAAAAAAAATCAATTAAAAAAAATACAAAACTGTTTTCTATTCATTCCAAAAGTCCTGCTGTAATTTCAGGTAAGAAATTCAGCTATAGTTTTATTTGTAGTACTGCACTTATGATAATTTATCAGTTTATCTTATCATTCATACTTGGATATTAAGAAAATACTTTTAACTAAAATTTTATTAGAATTAAAGATATTTTAAATTCCATCTGTAGGTTGCTCATTCAGTTGACTAGAAATTTCTTCATACTGACTAAATGATCTCAAACTTCATGGGAAGAGCATGCTTACAGTTACTGAATGATAAAATATCGGCAGAAAAAGAGACAGCAATTTTCAAAATTTTAGTTATTGGTATGTAAAACTTAAATGAAAGCTAAATAATGATGTGACCAAATTAAGCCACATCTTTAATTTAAGAACTATTTTAATAAGTTTTAGATCCATTCCCTTGAATAATTAAAAATGTTTCAAAAAAAAAAAGCCCAAGAGTACATTAAAAGTTTCCTTTTAAAAGTTTCCTTTTTAGGAAATATTCTTCACATTTTTCCCTGAGAAATACCTACATGCTACTGCACATTCACAGGCATGTTCAGTGAAAAGCATATTTGAGAGAAAAGTTACAGATTACAGGCCTTCTTTATGAGCAGATTCTCTCTGAAGGAATACAGTTTTGAAATGTTAATGCTTTTTCACTCAAGTCAAAAGTACTTTTTATTAAATACAAAGAATGAATACTTTCAGTTTGAAAATCTTGTGTATAAAAACTGCACATCTATCATATTTCATGTCTATTTTTTCCTTGTTCTTTCAGGGACCAGAACTATAAAAGATACCCCAAATTTTTTTCACTCAAGCATGTCTTCCATCTTCATGGCATTCAAGAACCAATATAGCAAAATTCTTATCACAGAAATTAATAATAATAAAAAAAATCTATCACAAGGCCATTAGAAAAGAAATAAAAAGGGATATTATAAGAATAAGTAAGTAGACTTGTAGTATACAAATACTGGCTGGCGATAAGGGAATACCAAGAAAACATATGATTTCAAAATGCTACTCCTTCCATCAAGGGCGCTGACAAGATCAGGGGAAGCACTAAGATGCTCTGTTAAAAAGGGTTAGAAGGTAAGATAATCTGTTGCCCAATAATATTTTCTTTACTTGCTTTCAGGAAGGTATTTCAGGAAAATAACCTCATTTTCTTCCAGAACTATTCATTCACATGTTAATGCCTCTCCCTCCTCCCCATGCCACCCCTAAATAAACTGGGATTTCACAGGGGCTACAGGTATTTTATCCCTTAAGCTTCAGGTTATTTCACACTAAGCATGAGTCTGTTTGTAGCATAACCTGTGGAATTAATAGTTCTTATTTGTGAAAAATGAAGTTTTGATTATAGGAAATAATGACTCTGCTTACAAAATTGGAAAAGAAAGGGAGTACTATTCCCTTTCACCAGTTACTTCTGAAAGCATTTTTTAGTAGTCATTTGCTATTAATACACATGTATGCATGTATAGGAGGAGAACAAGTAGAAAGGCTATTTAATACAATTAAATGCAAAATAAGCAGTCCACACTCAGGTATAAAGCTATCAGCCAAATTACGAGAAGTTTTGTGGGGCTACACAAAAACAACTAAGGAACAGACTACTTCATCATGATTAAGAAAGTCTGCAACTGTGGATTTGTAGAAGCTTAGAAGCCAGAAGGCTCCAGACAACTGGAACTGCTAGTACTGTGAGTAATTACTTATCAGAGAAACCTCCTATCTGCTCACAATTACTATACTTCAAATTTCTTCCAGCAATAACAGCTATTTTTGTACCTCCTACAATAGACTCTTCTGCCACTTGCACAATGAAGATACACTTCCTGCAATTTACTCTCTCTCTGACAAAAGTACAACTGCCCATAACGCAACACTATGTATACTGATAGATCTGGCATAAGATTTTTACTATCTCCTGTTCTATGTAGGAAGGATTAGCTGTTTCCTGAATTTATCACTTGGTCCATCAACTTTCTACCGCTATTAACACTATGTTTTCCAACTGTTCATGTGACTAAATTTCTTAAATCTACACCTGACAGTAAACACATAATGTCACAAAAAATCAGTAAAATAAAACCAATTGCCTCAGATCACACGAGGACAGAAATTACATAATTTTGCAACTTTTTTCTAAAAGAATCTTAGGCTGCATAACTTCCTGGGCTTGAGGGCCCAACTCCTGCAAAGATGGGAAAAGGGAGAGTGCTGCAGAAAGACAAGGAATCAGCAATTCTTTTTTAAACTTCTCTCTAAGAAGATGGGTGCGTGAACATCACTTTCTTCATGATGAGCCTTTCCCACAAAACCCATTAAAATGGGTCTCAAGTGGGGTGCCTGAGAAAGTCAGACAAGACTCAAAAAGGAGATAACAGGGTTCTATGCCTGCTGGGAGAGGCTTTCACTTTGGAATAAAAGCAGGTTACTTTCAAAACAGAAGAGGTCAATATTTATGAAGAACCTTGTTGTAGAAGATGGCTCGTAACTCATCAGTTTCATCTTGTTTTCATCCCAAAGGTCTCCTCATCTTCATGCAAAGCATCAGAGAGATCATTCTCCCTTACAGTACTTCAATGAGGCAACAGAAAAAGCAATAAAGTTGTTGCAACCAACAAAAAGGGTTATAAAGACTGAATGATATCCAAAGTAAAGCAGACTAACTTTGACTTGCCTACATTCTTACATTAAACACAGTCCCCCAATCTTATTCAGTAACCAAAAAGGTAAACAAAGTTACATTTGCTAAGACATTTTTCCCAAGAAATATTCCCATAAGAGTTCCTACCTCTGAGAAGCCTTGCCTATTTTCTGCAGTCTGAACTAATAATTACAGCTTTATTCTTACCTCCACTACACAGCTCCTTTGCAATTTTAGATAGTTACACCTTGATTTTCACAGCTGGGTACTGTCCCTAACTTGTGGGTTGCCATGTCTCATTAGTTAAGCAATTAAGATCTCTGCTTTCTACTGATCAGCTATTTCACAATGCTGGTCTAGTGTACACCGACAATTTACAACTACTTACAAAAAAACAGACATTATACCCTGATGACTTTCTCTAATTAGCAAGCATATAAGACTCAACATTTTGACTAGACATTCTATAACTTAATTTTCCATCTCTAAACAGGAATAGACAATGTCATGTCTTGCAGAGAGTTATCTCTAAAGATTCCTGGTTCCAGAGCATTCATACTATAGCATCAGAAAAAGTTCTATATGAATTGAAAGTATCGGAAAGTATGTCTCCCTAAAGAGTGTCTTTAAAGAAGAGCGCAGAATTTTGAAAGCTACCTAACTAGAGAAACACTATCCTGTCTGTGCATCAATAAACATATGATCCTGAATTTTTGAAAGTGAAAGTAGTATTAAAAAGTATTAAAATTCATCATAACACATATATTCAATGCAACAAAATGAAAGTGGTATGGGCATGTTCATTTTGTATTCCCTGACTTTCAGAGATGACTTTTCATCTTAAATAGTAGTATTTTATTGTAGCTTAAGCATAACTTTAAAATCACCGTTACAAAATCCAAGCTGCCTTTGATGGAAGAAAAGTGTACATGTAGAAAACAACTATTAGTAGTCCACTTTATACAATAAACTTCTACTTTAGTAAAAAATGGAAAAAGTAACTAACTACATGACCTATGAAAAATTATTCTAGGAATTAAAGGAACATTTTCAAGTAAAAAGATATTGTAAGATTTTTTTCCTAGGGTATAACTGTTTTAGGCAAGATTTGTACTCACTTTGAGTTTAAGCAGCTTCACATCTTGTTAACTGACTATATACAGTTTTGTGAAAGGCACAAAAATATGTGAGAAGTTTTAGATATTGCTCACCTATAAAAGCAAAAGGACCTCTCTTATGAGGGCACCTTCATAAGAGTATTTCTGGGTGTAAAAGCACCAAGGGGAGCAAAATGAGAAATTCAAATTTTAAACTGCATTTAAAGTTAAACTTTTTTAAAAAGTATTTAAGAGGCTTAAAACTATTAAGCAGCAATATATACTGTATTAATGCAAGTGAAGTAAAGTAAAACTGAGACTGAAGCTATTTACATATCATAGCAACTTTAAATAAAAATATATGATTAGTAGATAAGCAATTTTGTAATTTATAGTGTTTATTCAAAAAGAACGCACTGGGAATACTCTAAGACTGCTTAGTTTAAGGTATACCCATATGCACACAAATTCTGTGATATTTAAGACTTACTAAATACTTAGGATTTCGTAAAACTGAGACTGAAGCTATTTACATATCATAGCAACTTTAAATAAAAATATATGATTAGTAGATAAGCAATTTTGTAATTTATAGTGTTTATTCAAAAAGAACGCACTGGGAATACTCTAAGACTGCTTAGTTTAAGGTATACCCATATGCACACAAATTCTGTGATATTTAAGACTTATTAAATACTGAGGATTTCATAGACATACTTTGAAGTTATTAACATAACTTTCTATGTTAATCCACTGACTCACGGGGCTTTTTTCTGCTTTAAGTAACTAGGGACACTTTATTAAATAGATTTATACCCCTAAATCAGAAAACTTCTGTGAAAAATTGATCCTGGATTACATCACAGTAAAATGCATGACGCTGCTTTTTACCTCCAGATCCTAGCTGCTTGTAGAATCTGTATTCCAAATGTAGCTGTGGTGCTCTCGACTTCATTGGCTCCTGATTTAAAAACAAAAACAACATTTAAAACAAAGCCTCTCTGCCAAAGCCTAAAAACTAATACACTAGCCTACTACCAGCCAAACTAACCCTGCTGCTTCCAAGCCACACGGAAAGTTTCAATGTTTCTTCCAAAATGACTGGTAATTAAGAAACTAAGAACCCTAAATCTCAGTCAGGTGAGACTATGGCATATAGGGACATTTGCATTTTCTATTGCTCCACGGGACTGGGGGTCCAACATGCAAACCCAATCACAGACCCACAATGGAATAGCCAAAAAATAATTTGTCTCTCCAAACCACGTGATGTGTCATGCAGCTTTCAAAAGGTGGCATTGATATGCAGCTTAACAGATCAAAAAGACTGTCCACACACCTGCTATACGATAGAAGTATCTTGAGCAAAAAAAAGTTTTATCCGAGGATTTTGACAAAAAAACCCAAATCCTTCCACCAACTAGTAACAGCTTAGCAGAAATTAAGTAGCACCATTCTAAAGTATAAATTTGAAACAAAAAAAGAGCACCAGAATAAGTTTGTATTTTAGGTCTTTCTTTTCCCAACATAATTTACATAAATTAATGAAATCCCAGTTCTGTGTTCTACATACTAATGTGGCAAGATCTCAGACTGAAGTGACATAAGATCAAGCACAGGAACACACAAGCAGCCTAAATGAAAGCCCTAACTTCTTGAGTATTTCCCTTTGCAAAGTAAAGGTACTTTATCTAAGAGTCTTAAAGTAATTTCCTAGAGCATCTTTTAGAAGATATGCCTGGTTTCTTGTGATATGTAACGTCTTCCAATGCATCAGTGATAATTTGGACATTAACTGTGCATTATTCCTACACAGACTGCTCCTACTAATTACGTGCTGCAATTCTAGTAAGATTGTTAATACACTTACCAGCAATAACTGATACTGCTGGATGTCACTTTTCAGGAAAAGTTTGGGCAAGGTGCTCATCTCTTGCCTCACACTATCTTCTCCAGAAGCTAACAGTTTATTAACCTGTGTTGTTTCCCAGTGGCACAGCCAGGCCATAGAAACTATGAGCCAATATGCAATCATGAAAAACTTAGTCCTCTTCCTCAACCCATCTCCCTCCAACACTTAGATATTCCAAATTGCTGCTACTGCTACAGCCAAAGTCCCTGTCAGGGTACATTTATGAATGTGATTTTGCCAGGATGCCAAAGGTTGAGGACCAAAAGTAAAAAGGGGCCAATGTAACAGTTTCTACAAAAAACAAATGGAATTTAATATATGCTTTTTATGCTCCAGAACATTCATCCTAGCTGAACACTGGAATTCTTTGCAAAGAAGTGAGCAAGAATGTTCTGAAACAAAAAGGTGTTGAACCTTCCCAAACTGAATTTCTAAGCAAGACTAACTGGGCCACCAAAAGGTCCTACTTACAGCTTATGAGGAGAACACATGAAATTTATTGTCAAGTATTAAAGACAGATATCCTTTACAAAAGACTTTACTGTAAACACGGGCCTAAGCAGATCAGTGCAACCTTTAGTACTCAGCTTTCAGAGATACAAATACATCCATTATGAAGCATGTTACTGGAACATTTTAACCTTTTATAAAACCACAAAAATTTAGCTACTAGTTTGCCTGCAGTAGTATTATACAAGTCTGTTAGTTACTAAGTATACCACTCTCTACACAGTCTCTAATTAAAGCTTGTAATTATGCCTGCTAAGACGAAAATATTTTAGCCCATAAAACTGCATGTCTGCTGAATATACTAAGACAAGACACTGGCTTATGGGCAGTTTAATTTTGTTCAGTTATACACTTGCCTTAATCAATAGTACATTAACAACTTAATTATCACTCAATGTTATAAGATGCTCCCATAATAAGGATGAAAAATAGCTTGTATATATCAGTTACATAAACAGACCCCCAAAAAAAACTCCTAGTGAAAAACAACAGCTTCCAATTTTTGATATACACATCTACACTTTTTCAAATGAATGCTGCCTGTTTCAGTCATCAGCAGGAAACAGTTCTGATAAGCCTCCAGAAGGCAAGTGTTCTCAGTCAAAACAAGTCTACTCGACAACTACACTCCAGCCAAAGACTGAAGTTAAACACTATCTAGCAGAGAGACAATTAAATACTCTTACTCCCTCCAGTAATGGTAAAAAAATGTGGTAATATGTACTTGTAGTCCATTTATTGGCTGACAGTCTTCTGGAATTGCCTTATTTTTGTAAGGAGACTTAGATATCTTCCTGCCTGTTCAGTAACTCCAAACATACAAAGGAAATAAAATCTTTTGTTCAACAAAACTTGTGAGAGGGCAAGCACAATAAGCTCTTCACATAAAATTTGTTTTGTTCCTACACATCCCACTTTGCAGTATGCAGTGAACTACTGATAAATGAGAAAAAATAGATAAGGATAAACCAAGACAAATGTATGTTAAATGTAATCTTCCACCATAATGTAAGAGTGAAGAATACACCACTGTAACTACATTTTTATGAATAAGTCTAAAAAGCACATGCAAGAATAAAAAAGAAATGGCAAATCATAGTTCTTTATTTTCATTAGTATTTCAGTACGTTTCAGCATCTAAAAGTAAGCTTGGGAACACATAACTTTTCAAACATCATGATAATCCCAGAGGACTTTGAATCCAACTTCCCCTCTTACCAAAAGAAATTAGTGTATTTTTGTTTACTTAAAAAAGCTCAGGTCTTCACTAAAGTATCCTGAAAACTGTTACAGGATTTCTGCAATGTTCTGTAAACGACCTTCACTACACTGCTTTCACATTCAACTGTAATTATTTCAAAGCTTCTATACTAAAACATAAACAGCTTCTTTTCCCTGCAAAAGAGCATTTCTCTCTCAATGAGGGACTCCGTGTCTTGCTGCCATCGAAGAATTAATGTGCAGTTTACTAAGCACCGGTTACCTGAGCAGCAGAAACAGCTCATTAGTTCAGAGAGGTCCTTTTGAACCAAGTTTTTTCCCCTCCTTTTTTCTTTCGTGGTATGCTTATACATTCAAACAAAAGTATAAACACCTGAAACGTGAAATCTGTTTCAAATTCATAATGGGTTTTTTTTGCAATTATTTTTGTGCCAAATACATGGAATAAACTACTATACAATTTGGAAGATATGTCACTTCCCTTCTAAAGGGCTTTGAGAAAACAGACAGTTTACTTCCCCTAACTATAAGGACAGACATTTTCAAGAACTCTGATGTTAACCCAAAGCACAATATAAACATTTAGTTATTACCTAATTTTCATGTTTTTAGTAATCCAGTGAGAACTCCTACTCAGTATACGTTGTCTCTGCTTTGTATTTTCTTAAGCAACAGCAAATAAAAGCTATTTTCAGGAAAAAATTCTTTAAGAGGTAGGGCTTTTGTTCAGTCTATTAAACAGAGTTGCACTTGATTTGGATTTACTAGTCTTCTAGAGGTGTTATGAAATGGTATCATAATAGACTGCAATAATTCTTTAAAAACAAAAAAGGAGGGAAAAAAAAACATTCCAGCCTTGGAACCAACCGCAACCTTCTTTTCACACACATCCCACTTAAAAATTTTAAGGATTAAAATCTTAACAGTTGAATGATTAATAAATCAATTAAAGATTATGGATTAAAAGCAGCAGTGACTACCTCATAACTTGCTATCTTTCACATAAAGATAGAAGGAAAAATTGACTTATTTCCAGAAGCAGCTCAAGCAGAAATTCCTTTAGCTGGTATTTGGTTAGTGGTTAAACATCCTGCAGAGGAGATAAGTTTGTACAATGGAGAAGTTTGTCACAGGGAAAGGGAAGAATGAAGGAGAGGGAAGAGCTGAACATGGAATAAGAGATTTAAGTGAAGTAAAAGGTCATGTAATAAAAGTAAACCTAACAATAAATGAGGAGATGAGCAGGAAAGGTACAGTTCATATATACCAAATGGTTATTGCTGAAGAACTATCTGATCACAAGATACCAATTTGTATACTAATAGGCCAGCAGAAACATACAAACACCACTAGACAGTGCACAACTGATAAAGCCCAGTTCTTAAAAGTCTCATTCCGGTTCTTAAAAAAGTCCATTCTATTTTTCAAACTTGAGCATCTGCCCAACCAGAACAGGCCATAATGAAAGAAACCAGATTAAGAGTAAGATCCTGGAACTGTAGCTGTTTTACCAGAATAAATATGCATTTACATATAAACTTTATACATTAAAATACATACATTGTATGACCCTCAGGCCTCACAGAAAAATTGTTTAAACTATTTCCTTACACAAGTTAAGTCCTCAGGTTGCCATAAGCATCATAAACAGGAACATACTTGTATAATTTTGTCCACAAGGGAAATATTAATTCAACACAAGAAAAAGTTTAAGTCAAAACAGTAGTTATAAAATCCATTTACTTTTAACATCAGAAGTACTCCTGCAAGCTGCTGTATAAATGCAGCCATTATAACTCATGCTCTTGAGAGAAACCCACACAATTCTCCTGCACTAGAGTATATGGTCATCATTTATACACAAAACATCTGGCATAGGAGATGTCTTGCCACTCACAAGAAAACAGTATATCAACAATGGAATGCTACCATGAGGAACACAAGTACTATTTTAGGATACTGCTCAAACTAGTATACATACATAATTCAAGTAATCCCATTCAGGAGGGCTAAACTTGAACTACAACATGCGCAGAACAGAGAGGAAATTAAGAGCACCTCATTTAGGATAACAAAACAAAGACTGAGCATAGGCCTAACAACTGCTCTCAAAACACAAAGGGAATAAGTGCTAGAGACAGGGGAAAAACTGTTAAGCTTATATTTTAAAAGGGAAAGGATGCTATATCACAAGCAAGTACAACCTACCTAACTGTTAGAATAAAGTCCTGGCACTGTCTCCAATAGGAGAAGAAAAAACAGCAAAAAAGCAAAATTCAACTAAATCCTACAATTTGATGCAGCTGCTTTTAACAGACAGAACCTTGTGACCAAAATCCCTTCCAGTTTGGAAACAAATTCAAAAGTGCTGAAAGATATTAAAAAAAAAATGAGAACCATATTAAAAGAACCTACTAGTTCTACCTGCTAATAATGTGTTTTTACCTTACAATGATGATCCAAGCTCTAGTGTTGATTTTCACTATGATTTCTTCTATCTGTTGTTTATTGCAGAGACACTATAGCTTTTCATACCACTAATGTAAGAGGACAACTCAAAAAGTTAACTACATATTCAGAGTTCTTTAAGCACTAGTAGTAAATTACAGACATACTTTACTGCACTGGTTCTTTAGTGACTTCAAAGTTATTCAATAATAATACTACAAGCTTTTTACACAGCTGTAAATGAACAGCTGTAAGATTGAGTAATTTGGAAACAAAGTAGAAGTTGCCACTGAACACTATCTTTGAAAGTTAAAATGGGTTGAAATAGTAGCTGAGTTTATTAATAGTTACATATATAATAAAAATGGTTCTAACAAAACTCACTGATCAGATTAAAAAGTTCTCTTGCTCTACATCATCAAGTGCTTAAAAAAAAAAATCACTATCTTGCAAACTATTTCTGAATGAGCTTTATAGTAAACAGCCTTTAACTAGAGGGATTCTCAGACCATTTTCAAGTTTTACCAGACATACAGAGTAAGTTCAAGACATTTTAAAATAAAATTAATTTAAATCTGGTATAACGCACACATGATAACCCTCAAAACTGCATCCAATGTTGCTCTTTCAAACCATAACTTGGATGTTTTTAAATCCATAACTACTCCTGAAGTAAATATTTTTCCAAGCAAGAACAGTAATACAAGTATTTTTCAGGAGTTCACTACATACATTTGTAATGCTTTTTAGATTCCCCATCTAAAGCCATGTATTTCTGTTTCCACAGTTTACTTTTCACTTTATAGAACCAGAAATTCACCAGACTATGCTATGAAAAACATTCTGTCCTACTGCAGCAGCAAGAAATTAATGGGAGTCCTAAAATTCCTTCAATGACAAAAAAGTAAACAACTTAATTTCATCTTGAAATATTTTGGTTACAAAAACAGTCATTTGCCAAGAAGTTAAAAGTATCCAGAAGCAAAACATGAAGTAAACTGATGAAAGATTCAGAAAAAGCAGAACAGTGACATATTGACAAAATATCCAAATTTACCATGTTTGTAAGTGAAGGAAACATTTTACACATCATTGCAAATAAAACATGTCTACCAAAACAGATGTGCAAATACCAATAATTACAGATGAAAAACAGTTTGGGGCAGGAATAAGATTGTTAAAATACAAGTAGTCTGCAGAATTTCTGGAGCTTCTCTGTAGTCACCTGATGTCAGATTCACATTAAATTTGATGTTCCTTTACTTGTTGCACAAAAAAGGAATCTTCTAGGAAGACTGCTGAGCATACCCTTGAAGCAGCAGTCAATCATCATTGACTTTACAAACAAACACAGATTTAGCTCTGAGAACAGTGACAACAATTAACACTAATTTTATTCAATATGGCCAAAGCATAAAATTACATCTATCACTAACTGCTTTCATCTAATCAGTTGAAAACATACAAGACTATTAAGGATTTCAACTGAGGAAATGAAACCATTATATATGAAAGGAAAATTCTGATTAGTTTCTCATCCCAAATGCTTAAAAAAAAACAAAATTAACTTACCAGCTTAATTGCCATATATTCATTTGTGTATAAATTTTTTCCTTGAAAAAAGAAAAAAAAACAAGGATGTGAGACATTGGCTTTCCTGTTCAAGTAAAATGCCATTTAAACCTCAAGAAAGTCTTTGAAACATTTTTAATCTAAGGTGCTAGGTGTTCTAGCAGTGACATAAAAAAATGTGGCTTTATTAGTCTGATACCATACTTTAAAGACAAATTTGTTCTTGAATAATGTAAGAAGTGGCAGTTTCCTTGAGAGAGAGTTTCAGCTATTTCACCAAGTTTGCAAAATTTTTATACACTAGAAAAGCTTGAGAATTGGTAAATTATTGTAAGTGGAACATGATATTCTACACTTTCATATTTCTTGCTGAAAACTATTTACAAATTTTAAAATTATCATATGATTTTGGAACACCAGACACTAAAGTTAGAATTAACTAGGACTATTTTTTTCCTAAATTCTGTTATTTACTAAGCTTAAAGTTAGGAAAACCAGGGCAAGAATATTACTGAGTTAAATGCTTACACCATTTGGAAAATGCATCTGCTGCTTTAAAAGTGATTCTGTAACTGGATAAACATATTTCAACAAGCATTACTTCAAATTTTATGCAATGACTAAAATATTAAACAAGCTCTATAGGTGTAAAATTAAAAAATAGCAGATAAAGGGGAAAAAAGTTGTCACTTCTGACACTTTTTGTTTCTCTACAGTCTTCAAATGAGTTTAGTGTATTATTTTTAATGACAATCCTACTTTCTCTGTAGTATTACTCAGGTCTGAATTTCCCACATTTAGCTCAGTTTTGTTAAAGAAATCAAACAGGGAAAAGACATGGATCAGGACAAAAAGGTTACCTGCAAAGAGAGTTACGTTTATAGTCAAAGACTATGATCTCAGCTCAAATCCTTATTTTTAAAAATAGAGTACTCTTGCAAAGCTGAAAAAAGATGCATTAAAATCACATCTGTTAAGGGATCAACTTTACAAAAAGCAAGTTACTTGAAGGCTGTACAGTAAAACACACAGAATCAGTATGGGCAGCATGCCCTAATCTGACCACCAAAAGAATGGATAATTCCAAGACCTATCCAGGGACTAGAGTGGAAATCCAGGCACCTTACACAGTTATTTCTTATCTTATGATCATTTGAGTTACATTTTTGACAAAAAGCGTACTTTGAAGTTGCTTCTGTCTTTGCATGCTATTACAATCTAGAAGACATTAAAAGAAACTCCTGCAGGGGCCCTGCTCATTCAGTCTATTAGATATGTAAATCAACTACTGGAGTAGCTAACAAATATGGTTACAGTTAAGTGACTGGATATTGGGTGCCAGTAGCTAAATGCAGTAATGACAGGCTTATCATTCTGAAGAAACATCAGAAGGCACATTATAACTTTCCATGCGGTGATTCAGGACAATTGCCTCTTTAAAATATGGAGACAGCAGATTTGACACCACTGTTGATCTATCACTAAGCACAGAACAGGTAATGCATCACATGCAGCAGCAACAAGCTTTCTTTTACAACCCCATCAGTTTATCTTAACTGTAACTCAGGAGAGCCTTAAGATTAACAGCTCAGTATTCAAAACAATTTAGTCCTTTGCAAGTTAATGGTTGCGTATCAGACACTTATTTGATACATACAGCCCATTTACCATTTGATCCACAAGCCACTACAGAAGTCTGGCCATTCCTTTCTTCTCAGGTAGAAGAACTACAATGGCTACTGATTTATAACTGAATTTTTATGTCCTGAAGTGCAACTTCACCACTCTTTAACAACTTTATTCCTCCTTTAAGTCTTTAAGATTCAACCCTAAGACACATGCTCAAAATATATTCCAGTTTGCAGAAGTACATAAAACAAATTAAGTGCTTGTGTACATCTCTGTAGGAGGGATGCCCACTTTAAATTACTTGCTACTGTAGTAATGTAAATGCAAAATTAACAAATTTAAATCAGAATCTGTAATACCAATCTTAACTCCTGCTTTCAGTAACTTACATTTAAAATACCTTACCCCACAAATAAAAATAAATAAGGATTTGAAATATCTGCTATATATGCAAAAAAGCAGATGTTAAAAAGAGAAAGCCTGCACTTGTCCTGGTGGCTGTTGCAGGACAGTACACTACACTATTATTTTCCTCCTATTTCTTTTAGTTGTTTGTCCTATTTTATTTCAGTACTACCAGACTTTAAGTCTTAACTACTTTAATATTTTATTTAGACTGAAATATATTATTTCACTCTCTATCTGCTGCAAGCAAATGAGTTAATCTGATAGTGATCTGAAATAGATAAACAACTCTGTACATCGTGACCATTCCAAGATAACAGACAGGAAAAAAATTAACTTCATTAGTTTACAGTTGCCTTCAGTAGTGACATTATACCAGTTTGATTTAGTTCCTAGAGAGGTTTAAAAGAAAAATTATCATTCAAAGCCAGTTTAGGAAAGTTTAGGATAAGTTGAAGACAGAGGTTCAGCTTGACATGTGAACTGCAGAGGCACATATATAACACTGTAAAGGTCAAAATGTATCAATCTTGTTTAACTATTAATAGAAATAACAAGAGTACCTCTTACTGAGACTATGTTAAATTCAGTATCCTCAGTCAAAGATTCAGCAATGTTACAATGTTAGTGTTTCATCTCTCTACAGAATTAATATGCTAAGCTTGTTTACATTCTGATTCAAGACTAGATATAAGGCCCCCAGAAAGCACTATATTAAAAATGTTATATTGTACGCATGTTTTAAACATGCATATATAAACATGTTATATTTTACACAAGCACTATATTAAAAACATTGTCTGAAGGACAGTGAGTAGTAGTTCTGCCAGAGGCAGATCAACAGAAACACACCACCTACACAGCCCACCCTACTCCCAAATACCCTACTTTCAAACCCACCTCATAAACCTTGAAGCAGTGCATTAACTCAAGCCTTCCAGGAATACTGGAATAAATTGTTGCCATTAAGTGTCAAGTTATATTTGTTAACACATACAGAATTCCCAGATCTTGAAAAAGCTGGCTAATCATGCTGTCATCATGGAAATTTAAGTGCCCAAAACTAAATACATACTCTTCCAAAAGCACACACCCATCATTTACTGTCTATTTTAATAAACGGTAAAATTTCCAGCTCTACTGCCCAAATTCTTCAAAATTCCACAGGTCCTTCTCCATCTGTCCCTTCTTCACCATCTGATTTTCATCCATCTGTTCAGTAGGGGACTGAACAGTCACTAAGGGACTGAATTACCCGTCTCCCAGATTCTCTCTACAGATGGATTCTCACTGCCCCTAACAGCAGCTCACTGTTTAGCCTCACTACACTGCTGCTGATGGAAAGGAAACCAAGGAATCCAAGAGTTTGCTGCTATTAAAAACACTGTAGTGCCTGCTACACGGTCTCCAAGAGATCTCCAAGACCACAGTACTATAAGCCAGACCTGCAGGTGTTTCACATACACCAGGAGGTGTTTCACATACGCTTAGTCCCAAATCCATCTGAATAAACTGCTTCAGGAAGCCAGGAAAGGTAGCAAAATAAAATAACCATGAACTAATTTGCAGCATCTTGGAAGAGAAAACTGACTGAATTTAGGACAGCACTGCACACAGTTACGAAACATTTTTAGTCCCAGAAAGTCTCCTGCTTCAGAGATTCTTAATATGTGACAGAGCTTGTGCTGGCTGGGGTCAAGCCACAGAAGATGTGCAAGGCAAATTTAGCCTATCTGAAGTTTGAAAGTAGTTTGACAAGCTGTATGGTGTGTTCATGTAGACATTTTCGTGCCTAGACCACATACAATGGCCTTGAATAACGTAAACTGAAATAAAGAAACAAGGATCTTACCTAACCGTAGTTCTCCAAAATTACCGCATCCTATTTTTTTGCCAACTCTGAAGTTAGGTCCAACCATTAACACTCCAGAATTTGAAGAACCAGTTCCACGTGGATTATGGCCTGACCTCCCACCAGGCCGTGCCATTCTTTCATCTGGCTTGTCCTTGTCTTTCTTTTTATTATCCATGTCAAGTTTACGGTACTCCACTTTGATTTCTTCCTCTTTTTAAAAATCAGTATAAGCAAACTCCAATTGGACAATGTGAGAATGAAAACATCACCAGTGAAGTGCCCAGCTGGTTACTGTCAGTAAGCAGTCAACAGAAGCGTGTTCATCCCATTCGCAAAGCCTTGGTAGTATCTGTAGTAAAAATATATCTCCAGAATGCACAACACCAGCAATATTTACTAGTATTTACAGGAATTCTGTTAAAGAAAAACAAAGTTATTCAATACAGTAAGATTCTCGTACAAAATTACCTCTCCCTTCAACTAGTCATACAATTAAGCTATAACTAATTATATTTGCTTTACAGATCCTCTATGAAAAGCCCTACTGTGAGATTAAAGCCTCTGATTCTAGCACGTAATGGCAAGAGATATTGGTGTGACTGAAGTGAGCTAAAAAAATATCAAAGCTTAATGCAACAGATATTTAAAAAAAAAAAACAACTATAAAACTACTTCCTGACTAGGTAGACACTTTAAGAAAAAAAAAAAATCAACATTTAGGCACTCATTGCACCTTATGCCAGCTCTGCAAGAGAAAGCATTTTATTTCTGGGTTTTTTTCCCCCAGTAGTATCTGTTAATCTAAGGAAATGCTCAAGCTGCACAGTTATTTAAGTTCTAGAAAGATATTCAAACTTAAAATGATTCCATTATCTTTTCTGAATTATAATTTCTGAGATGCACAATTTATAAACTCATGGCAAGGACACTTCAGTTCTTTCAGTAACTCCTAGAGTCTGAAAATAAAATATATTTATTCTTCTCTGCATCATTTAATTATGTCATAAATTTGCTTCCCCACTCGCCTCCTTGTCCACCATTTAGCATCATTGCCCAGACACTAATTCCGACATAGATTTCAGCAAAAACATGATGTTAGCTTACTACTGCAATAAAGAATCCCAAGAAAGCTTTCATTTTTATCTTGTCCATAAGAATAGCGGATACTGTTTTCTATTAGACAACAGTGGTTTAAAACCCCTAAATTCAAAAGACAACTGGCTACTACATAGCCAAAATTTCAGGGTGAGTTAAATATCTGTAGCAAAATAATTTTGAACATTTGCTTCAATGTTGGGAATACACTACAGTAAAAGAAAACATCCCCTGAAAAAATAATGTATTTCGTGTGCTACAGACTATTTTAAAGATAGTCATCAGGAGCTTATTTTAAACACTTTGAACTGAAGACACTTTCATTTCTTAAATCCATTTCTTACAAAGTAAAATTATTACTCACATCATAGCTTATTATAACATTTTAAAAAAATCAAAGAGCCAGTAGAGAAGAGGTACCAAAGAATATGAACAACCACCCAAATAACTGCATCTGCTGAATCATGGATATTCATAGCATGGTCATAACTACATGATATTTAAAAATCACTAACCAACAGCTGACTAACCTATCACCTGAACAACGAAGCACATGGAAATTTGTTTGGTGAAGAAACATGATCACCTTACTATGAAAGGGGGAATGAAAGACTTGTTCTGAGAACAATCAAGAGACACAAATGCAGGTTCCAGTCCAAGTAGACTTGCTTAATGCAAGGGAAAAGGACTTCAGCAGTGAATAATGAATGCAATGGTGTGGTATGGCATAGACAGAGACATTTAAGAGAAAAATACAAGCACATTTGGCTACAACATAATCTTGCAGGTTCAAGCACCACCACTAGATACCCTAAAGTCACTTTCCAAACCACAAATCTCAGAGGAATAGATTCAATGGGAAGCAGTAAGTAATTTTCCTCACCTACCGTACTACAAAAGCTAGGGAAGAAATAAGAAAATCAGGAACGGAGTGTGTTGAGGTAGGACTTCAAGGGCATCATTTAGTACTTTGAAAGAAGGTCAGTACATTTGATGCAGCAGAATGCATAAATATTGTAAGTACCAAAGAAAAAAGACTTACATTCCATATCTTACTGGTTCTCCAGTGAGAAATAACAAGGTAAACAATACTAGAATTTTTAGTGCTAATACACAGGCTTCATGAGAAATAGAAGCAATGCACGTAAGCACAGCATATTACTGCCATCACCAAAAAGTGAAAAAGTATAGACAGTAACTAACACAATGCTTTGGTAACCTCAGTAGCAGTGGAAGGCCAAAGTTCCTGGCACTATTTTCCATATACCAAAATCTTCATACTACCAAGTGCTGAAAGACATACCTTGGAACAGTGCAAGGCTAGAAAGGCACTAATAGTTCATACCAATGATACCAATGGGCTCCACAACAGAGCACTAGGACCACAGAAGGGACTGGGTATGCAGGCAAACATCAAGAAACCCAAATCCGATTTCAGAGTTAATAAGATTCTTAGCTTACAAGTTTTCCATAGCTTACCTGTTGACACATACACAATATCTAATCACATGTCAAAAGAATTTAAAATTGTATTCTTCTAATGCATCACAACTTCATTTTAGAAGAACAAGACAGTTCTAGTTTTGTCATTTATTTCAGATTTCCCCATTTTGTCTTTGTATTTAACTATCACCTGAGCACAGCATGTAGCCTTGCTAACTGAGCAGAAAACGTAGCTGTAAACAGGCTGGGTTCTAAGGGTGCTGAGAAGTCAGTCATGATGCATGAGGAGCATGGAATAACAAGCAGGCAACATGAAGACAAGGGCACCAGAAATTCAATAGCAGCACTAAGGCAATGGTGATCTCCAAGAAAGCAGTTGTGAGCCAAAGTCAGTCCATCATCACCAGAAAAGTTTCCAATCTCACACTGTTTCAGCTCGTGCAGCAATAAAACAGTACCAGAGAAGCCAAGCTGGGAGCTCAAGGACAGATTATTTAGTATTTATGCAAAGCATATTAGCTGCTCTGTGTGCATGCTTGTCCAGATGAAGCCTAGTAATTAACAAGACACTGAAACTTTGCCAGTGAGAAATTAATTTGCACAATACTTTTTTTAACCCATCTATAATCATAGGAAGATCTGTAATTTGGAAAGTCCAAATAATAACCAAGCCCACCCCTTAATAGTATTAAGTTACCAGGGAGGAATACTTGCAATACACTTAGAATCTTCATTTTAAAAATATCCTATCTGCACACCCAAATATCTTTTTCTACAATTTAACAGGCTAATATTTTAGATACCAGTTTATTAGGCACTAATGGCAACAGACTTTCTCAAGTCTGTTTATACTAATACTACAGTCTTCATCAAGAGAACTTTTTCCTGATTACTCCATACACACACAGGCTCAGACACTGAAAATGTCTTATTATATCACACTGCACACTTAAACAAATACCAAATCAGATGCTTTTTGATGCAATTTATATTTTATTAATTGAAACAGCCCATTTGGAACAGAATCCTATCAAAGAAACTATTGCCAGTATTTTTTAATTCCAGTCTTCACTCTGAAACTGAAGTTACAGCAGTTTCAGTTTTAATTAGTTTCAAAACCTGAGTTAACTTATGAGAAATCTCTTTTTGCCTTTTTTTTCTGTTGATCTGTTGCAAGATGCCCACCCAGCCGCTCTCTCACCCTCCCCAAAAGGACAGTGGGAAGAAAATAACATTAAAAAGCTCATGGGTCAAGATCAAGACAGGGAGATCACTCACCAATTATGATCACAGGCAAAACAGACTTGACTTGGGCAAGATTAATTTATCGCCAATTAAAATAGGGTAAGATGGTGAGAAACAAAGACAAAGCTAAACACACCTTTCCCCCAACCCAATTCTTCCCAGGCCCAAGTTCACTCCTTCACTTCCCACGCCTCTACCTCATCCCCCTCCCTGAGCAGTGCAGGGGGACAGGGAAAGGGGGTTGTGGTCAGTCCATGACAGCTCCTCTCTGCTGCTCCTTCCTCCTCATGCTGTCCCCCTGCTCCAGCGTGGGGTCTCTCCCACAGGAGACAGTCCTGCAAGAACTGTTCCAGCATGGGTCCTCACCATGGGGCACAGTCCTTCAGGAATGGACTGCTCCTGCATGGGCTCTTCTCCAGGGGCCACAGCTCCTGCCAGGAGCCTGCTGCGGTGTGGGGTCCTCCATGGGCTGCAGGGGCACCTCTGCTCCGGTGCCTGGAGCACCTCCTCTCCCTCCTTCACCAACCTTGGTGACTGCAGGGATGTTTCTCTTGCATATTCTCACTCCTCTCTCACAGCTACTGTGCAGCTTTTTTTACCCTTTCTTAAATATGCTTTCCTGGAGGCGCCACCATCTTCACTGCTGGGCTCAGCTGTGCCCTGCAGCGTGTCCAGCACAAGGCAGCCCCGGCCTCTCCTCACAGAGGCCCCTGCAGCCCTCTGCCTCGCAGCACCTGGGCACAGTGCATTTACTAAAGCAACACTCACGTCTTTCAAATTTGTGAAATTCCAAACTCTATAGGTGAGTAACTGCTTTTTTAAAGCAGCAAGTGCTTCCAGGAAAAATAGCCTACTGCACACTTTTCAATTTAAGAAACCACTGCTTCCAAAACTTTTCTGTCCGCACACAGACCCACCACAAGCCGTTTGCCAGATGTCACTTTAAAAACTGAGAATGCAGTAATGGAAAAGATAAGTTACAATGGATTCAAGGGATGAAGATAACCTTGAGTATAAGCTTCAATATTTATCAAGTAGATTAGTTTTGTGAATGGTACTAGCATTTTGAGAGCAAATCACAACACAGGAAAAAAAAACTAATAAAACTCAGTAGAATACTTTAGAGTAAATAGTAAATAAACTGATTACTGAATACCGTCTTAAAAAATATATTTTCTCATAATGTTTAAGTAATGCTTTATTGAGTGTTTTACTGAAATTTAAGGCAACAATGCATGAAACCAAATACATTATTAACTACATAAATGTCAGTTTCCAAAAATGCATCTATTATATGGACAAATCTATTATATGGTAACTTATGCCCTTCCCTCTTCTGCTGTTGAACCAACAGATACTCCAGTTACATTATGGGTATGCTTTTTTAATATAAACTGAAATTAGCACCTTTTATCAGATTCCTGCTAAACAAACAACGGAAGCCCAGTACATTTTTCACACACTACATATCAGAAGGAAGACACACAAGCATTCCTGTCACAGTTTCTCCAGGACACAAGTGTTCTTTTACAACATTTCCTAATAAAATAATCTGCAGTTAATCTGAAATAAGGAGAAGACTTAGACTTTCTTCATACTGAAGTTCCTATACAACATTTTATGAAGTATTCACCTTAAAAATACAAAAGGCATGCATGGTTTTGTTTATTTACACTGCACTTACCTATGACAGTTACACTGTTGATGGCAGTATCTTTTCTTCACCATAATGCTCACATTCTAGAGGAAAAGCACTAAAAGGCAAAGATATATATATATGTAGTATTTGCAATTACTTGGGCATGCAAAAACTTCAGATACAGAATGCAAGTAAATTACAAGTTATGGGAATTGCATTAGTTTTCCTAGACTATTAAGGAAGATCAGCAGATTTTTTTCAAAGACCTAACACAATTTGTAGGGCTCAGAAGTCAGACTCCATTCAAAAGTGTGCATCACCTAAAGCGAAAAAAACAACACATACAGTGTAAGCATTCTAAATTATTTGTGTAAACCTCTTCTTGCTATGTGCTAGTTACATGGGGTATATTCTCCTCACAGGCAATCTGCCTGAAAAATGTGCCGTCCTCATCCTCATTTCACAGCTTGATTTTCTGTTTAGTTTTCATTTTTCATCTCTGCCTACATAAATGAGCACACTTGACCCAGAAGTTTCAGCCAGACATCAGGGAATATCGTTAGGATTTAAATAAGTATTCTTGCCAAAAAAATATATAATTAAATATCAGTATAATGGCAAACACACCATCAAAGCCAAGTTAACAAAGCAATGTCATAAGAGTGAAATGACTATTTATGTTGAAGTCTGAAGAGGAAGAGAAGGTAAAGGAAGCTATGGAAAAAAAAGTCAAAATGGTATTACCTAGCAGGAAAAGTAATTAGATCTTAAGTAGAAATTAGATCTACAATCCATATAGATTGAGGATAAAAAGTGAAATGAGACTGGAAGACCTAGTAAGGAAGCAGTCAGAGTAACTGAGATGCAAAACTAGCATCAGCTAATAGAGGTTTTATTTATTTGATGGAATTTGATAGATATTCCCAAGCACTGTAGAGAAACTGCCTGAAAAGCAAGGAGAGGAATGGTGAAGACAAGCAAGAAAAGTGAAGACAATACCTAGATACATGTTTCAGTTGACTGACAGCAGTCATACACCTAACACCTGCAGAAAAGTAAAAGGAATCTTAGGTTCAGTTTTAGAAACATAAATTAAAACTGATGGCAAAAGACAGCCAGGCTACTGGTCCGTATCAACACATGACAAATACAGAACATACAGTCAAATTAACCAAATAAATATAAACTTAGCCACAAGACTATAGTAATACCATCCCAAAACAAAATCCCAATTTGCAATGAAGTACATGAGGACAACTGCATTTGTTGGGTCCATAGAGAATTAACTATTTCTGCCAGTACTGGCTTTACCACATTTGATGTAAGAAGTCAAAGGCAAAACTTATTAGCTTGGATTCACCAACACATTGCTGTGGCTGAACTGCTAACTCTGGAACTACAGTAGTTACTCCCAGCTCAGGAGGGTTTGCTCAGTTCTCTGCTCCATTAATGAACATGCTATAATTCACCTACGTGCACTATGACTTCCAAACTTTTGCACACTTAACCTCACAATTTCAGTAATGTTCTTTCTGACTTACAATAGGTGATTAAATACTTCAACAAAGCCACAGCAAGGACTAAATGGACCATTCCCTAAAGACCTCTACTGTCTAAAAGTTAGATGAGCAATTTTGTGATATTTGAAGAGGACAGACAGAGAACTATTTCCTTGAAGGGACATTTTTACTCTACAGAATATGTTTTAACATGGATGATTTGCACACAAAGCTTGCTTACTTAATAGACAAGGAGATTGCAACTCAGAAAATCCAGCTTGTTTGAAATGTTTGTTTTGCACTGTGTTGTATAAAATTCTACAGAGAGCAACTAAATGAGTTTTAATGGAACTATACAGGTGTGTAAACAAAAATGGTCCTTCAATTCACCACTATACTCAAACTGTTTTTTATTTAAATTCATGTTGTGCAGTTGTATAATCCTGAAGAACTCAGAACACTGAAAACTAAGAATACATACAAAATTAGACATACAGAAATTAAAATTAAGCAAATATCTCACTTCCAAACAAATTCATTATGGGAAAAATTTGCTATTTTTTTTCCTCTAACAAACAGATTATGATCTCTGAACGATTTATACTTAAAGAGTATTTGCCTAAACATCTGAAGAAAACTGTTTAAAGGCACTGAAGAACGCCACTGTAATTTATATACATGGTGAATATATGGGCGAGTTAGAAAAACATATTCAGGCTCTATTCTGTCTTCTGTTCCATTATACACTCGGTATATTCAACAGCTTGGCTGCTATTGTTCAAAGTTCACACATCACCCAAAAGAACACATTATATATTAATCAAACATTTGCTTCACAGATTTTCTGTAGCAGCATAACAATCTTAACCTAAACCTACATTGGAGAAATTTTCCTTTAAATTCTCCTAATCTTTTCCTTTAAATCCTCCTAATCTTTTCCTCCTTGATTCAGTATTCAAAACCTAATAAAGCAGTGCAACACCAGCTATAAGAAAAAAGGATAACAACACAAGGCTACAATAATTTGACCAAATCTTCTGATAATATTCATATTAAAGTTCTCCTTTTTCATGTGCCCTGGAAACAACTGCCAGTTCTTTAGGTTGCACCACTACCAAAGATCATAGACACCCACTCAAACACAATTTCTTTCACATCTACTGGTGAAAAGAATCTCAAAGCCCCAGTGGGACTGGCAATTTTGAAGCACTATTGAGTTTTAGTATCACAGAAATATTTCTAATTTCTTGCACAGCCACACTCGCATAAGAACATCCCATTCAAAGTTTGCTTTAGGGTCAAATTATTGCCAGAAAGTGGCAGGCTGCTAAAATTCAAATTCTAATACAGGAATTGGCACACAGGAAGAAGTGACACCTAGAAAACATTTTAGACATCCCTAGATTACAGAGATATATATCTACGCATCTCTCTAAATCCCAGTTGAAAATGTCCCAATTAACACTACCAATGACTATATGCCACATAACAAGAACCCTACTCTGCAGCAATAAAGACTTTCTAGGACCCTATATAAGGCAGGATAAAAGACTAACTCATTTAAGCACCTTCTTTATTCATACATCTCTCAAATGGCTGAGCCTTCAGCAGCAGCAGCACCACTGTAATTACATGCAAATTTACATAATCCAAGGTGTATGTCATAACAATGTTCACATTCAAATGTGCAAGTCACCTTTAAAATAAAAACTTACTAGCTACTTTATTCCTTTTTCATGTTCCAGATTTACTCTTAAATAAACCTATTAAGAGAACATTAAAGCTGTTAAATAAAACATTCCATTGTCCGGAAATGACAAAATTAAATGAAACATGCAACCATAACTGCTCTCTTAGGTATCATATGCATTACCTTTCGGAGTTTAATTACAAGATCCCATATCACTGTTAGTATCAGTATACTAACATTTTTCTTTAGTTTTAGAAAAAGCATACAGTAGCACAAGAGCTAGGGAGGAAAAAAAAGAGTCCATGAAACAAAAGCAAAGACAGTAAAGAAATACCTCTGGTTTAAGCACAAAGCAAAAATTCACCCAGGCTCCTACCATTTTCACACATCTTCAGTTTTTCTCACCCCTCAGGCTTCTTTGTTCACATACTTCTACTCCCAAGGTCTCATGGGTTTTTGGCACTGACATTAATCTAGCAGCAAATCTTCTCCTCACACCTTCTAGAAGAGTACAGATAAAGTTTCTAGTGCCTCTCCCACAGATTTCCAAGACCCCTCCTCTAACATTATACATAGTTTTTATGGAATAATTCACCTACTAAGTAGCCTTTATTACAGACGGAGAACAGTCACTTTCAATTTCCAATATTCATTTGAACGTTACATTTGGACCACAGAGTAACATGGAATTTTATTCAGCAAAACTCCTTTAGAAGTATTTGATAGTAGAAAAACTGCAAATCATACTACAAATCTGAAATCAAGCTTAGAATGAGAGCTTCGTTGTGAGGTAATCAATACACAATTCAAATATCTAATCAACTATTTCTGGTATTGTTTGTATGCCTCATGGAAAGATTAAGCTGTTCTTTCTAGCCTAGCTCTAAGATGACTGCATCATTTTAATTCATTTTTATATACATGTCTTCATGCAACAGAGCACACCTTTGAAATTTCAAATCTACAGCAAAAAGGTTCACAACTGCAGAGTCCTTGAAAGTTTAGGACAGCAATTTCTAACCTCAAAAAACTCTTGGGATAGAATTTAAATTGGAAAATTTCTCTAAATTTGTATATGATCTAGTAAGATTCATTGTTTACTTAAAATGAAAAATAAATCTACTCTTTACTCATGGAATATTTAATTATTTTCAATTTAGTCCATTGAGAGAAATTTAAACCTTCACATGATCTTCATGTGACCCGAAAAAATAGAGTTGCTACTCCAACAACTTCTATTACAAATAAATTTGTCTATAGCTTTATTTTTCAAACAAATAAATGCTTATAATATTGGTATCACACCACTTTGATGGTTGTTTCCTTTTATCACTAATTTGAGCCTGAAAAGAAAGATACTTTCATATACAAACTCCAGAATAAAAACAGATGTTAAAAGGTTCATTGCATAACTCAATTAAACGTAACCAATCTGATTTTGACCTAAGTATATTATTTCATCATTTTCCAGATATCAGAAGCAGAAAAAAAAGGCAAAATCATTAGCATCTCAGTCAAAACTAAAGACAAAATGAGAATGCTGAAATATTCAGTATGCAAAACTTCCACAGATGCTACATACTCATGACATGAGTTTTGAAAAACAAAAAAACATTTCCAAACAAATTTCTCCTGAGACAATTTCTCTCTCCAGCTATCAATAACCTGTGTTGAAATTGCTCATTACTGTACCATGTTACATTTCTTCGAAGGTGTTCTCTAAGTGTAATCTCAACATAATGAAAACTCATTCATCAGCAACTCATTAATCCACTTGATATACATAGGGAATTTCAGTTCAACTATTGCAAGTCTAATGCAGCCTGATTTTCTAGTTTTTTAAATCTTTTAACATCAAAAACAAAATACAGCTTGGCATTATCCGCTCTTTCCTTTCTACCACTTCTAGCACACCTAGATTCACCATACTTACAGATGTTAGTTGATTCATCTAAGAATGTTTTATTCTCCCATTTCTTAGGTACTTACCATTCTGACTTCAGTCAGGTAAACAACTACCTTGGAAGCACTGTAAAAGCAACATGCAAATCCTCTGAAGCAACACCATTCTCCCCCCCCAAAAAAAACAGTAATATTTTGCAGCAGATGTGAACTAATCCAAGAAACAAGGATGAACTTTCAGTTTTGCATAAGATGACTGGTGTCCCTACATGAATAAGATGAGAAACATACGGAACACACAAGAAGTGAAGATGCACCTGAATCAGATCTTCAGCAGCATCCACATTCGGGCATCAAAAACCACTGGTCACATTCTTTTCCAGCCAGCTTGCCTTTCAAAATACTGAAGACCACGTCCCATATTTGCTACATTTATTCCACAAAGAAAAAGTATGCAATATATTAATGAGTTGGAAATCCTTCCTAGAGTTTCAGTAGCAAAGAGGGAAAATGAGCAAAGCAACTACTACTTCTTGATCACAGGCAGATCAAACTCTTCACACTTCAGAAGCAACACGTTTATTTAAGAAAGCAAACATAACACCCTAATTTCAAAAGCAAACGGAATCTCCTTATAACAGATCACGCAGGAGCTCAGCTGTGCTATTTGCTTCTCAGTATACATGGCCTCAAAACATTTTTATTTTGATTTGTGCTCTTCAGCACTCCAAGGCAACTAACAGATCACAAGTGCACTTAAATTTTGTTTGCATTACCAGCACTTCCAACAATACTGTGTTTGTATCTCAAGTATCTTCTACATTACCACTTCCGTCTTTTTTACATAAAAGTCTAAGTTTTCCACAGATGATTCTGTTCACTTTCTATGACCACCTTAGACAACTGTACTGTTCAGGCAGCATCCAGTCTTTTCCTGCTTCTACCTTCCGTAATATCA